TGCACTGAGCTGCAGTTACAGCAGCTTCATCAGTGCTGTGAAAACAAAAAATCACCAGCATGAACGTAACACATGAAATATATTATCAGTGTTTCACCAGAGAGTTCACCGGTCAGAGGAACGTCCAACATGAAGCACGTGGTTTTCATGAGGTACCAGCTCAACAGGCTGTCGACCAATCACAGCACTCCTCAGGTAAGAACCATCCGAACTACAAAGAGCTCCAGCAGAATCCTGTTTAACCTGATGTTCACAGGATATTTAGAAACTCTCACCTATAAGCAGGTGTTATGCAACAGAAGAAGGGAAACAGTTTTATTGATTATCACGCCATGTGAATTGCACTGGGTGGACAGTTATCAACAATTGTTGCCTCAACAAATTTAACATAATTTAAGAAATAAACCTGTAAGAGGCAACATAGTGGAGGAGGCCTTGGGTTCAAATCTTCACTCGGGTATTCCACCTTCCTCCCACAGGCTGCACATGTTAGGATAACTGTTGATTTTAAATTGGTGTGAAAACTTAAATGTGTGAATACGTGTGTGTCAGCCTCCTCTCTCCCAGTCTTGCCCCCCTCCCTCGGTGTGTACCAGAAGCAGATCGGTCAACTTACCCTTGAGGTGTCATCAGGTGACATCACCAAAGAGTCCACTGATGTTATTGTGAACTCGTCCAATCAGAACTTTAGCCTTAAAGCAGGTGAGCATTGTGTGTGTGTGTGTGTGTGTGTGTGTGTGTGTGTGTGTGTGTGTGTGTGTGTGTGTGTGTGTGTGTGTGTGTGTGCGTGTAAAACTATTTAACAGTGAAAATAAACATGTCTTTAAAATGTCCATTCTAGTGTAACATGACGTCTGACTTTTTTATGCTCCAGTATGTTGTTGTGATCTTTGTCTCGAAAGGTGCTAGATAAATAAAATTTTACTCACTTACTTCCCTACTGCACCTGTTGCTCTCCTCTTATTGCTTCTCAGGAGTGTCCAAGGCAATCTTAGACGGTGCTGGAGTAACAGTTGAGCAGGAGTGCGCTCAGCTTGGTGTGTACATGAAACCAAAGCCACTTTACTTCATTTTTAGACTCACTATGCTTCACATTCATAAAGCTGTTTCCTCCCTGCAGTGAGTTCCACGGCTCAGCCTCCTCCAATGATCCTGACATCAGCCGGGCAGCTGCCCAGCAGGAACATCGTCCACGTCGTCGGCCAGAACGACCCTGCAAGCATTAAAAACACGGTTTACTCGGTGCTGAAGGTCTGTGAGGAGAACAAGTTCAGCTCTGTCGCCTTCCCAGCCCTGGGAACAGGTCTGTACAACTATTTATGCAATTCATTGATTCAATGAGCAGCAATGTGAAGTATCCTTACTTCACACCACTCTTACAAAGCTAAAGTCAGAACAGAGACTGCGTCACATACAAAGCCAAGACACACTAACTAACCATCTTCCTTCTGCAGCGTCTGTGTGTCACGGCGGGGTGCGCCGATGTGTGTGAAAACAGGACCCAAAAGCAGATGATGACGAGTAGTTGAAAGTTTTAGCAGAAAAGTGATCCTTTATTAGATGACGGCAGAAATAAACCAGGAAACCAAAGTAAACTGACAAAACACTAAGAAACAAAACACTAAAC